CAGACCGGCTGTCACCCGCGTGTCTAGATGCTTATCCACTGGACCCGGGTGATGCGCCATGGACTGACCAAGTTCTCACAGGAGGACGAGGTCAGAGGTACGTCGATTGATCCTTTCGGGGACTTCGTGTGGGTGGGCCTTGAGGCTCACTCAACTTACCCTTTATGCCAAATTATTATCTTGATTGACTAGAAAGCTACTTTGTACAGGTAATCTTCGATTAGCCAGGAAAGTAGCGCCCAGAGGAGAGAGAGAGAATGAGCTGTTATTTATTATTGCAGCTCAGTCGATACTCGCTCCTTATGCTCTTATCTGGCCGGCGCTGCTGAAGCAGCCCGCCGGCGAAATTCTTTCTCCCCGTGGCCAGCCGAACCTATTTTAGAGAGAGGGAGTTTAGCTAGTAAACTAGGGTAGTGGGGTGGGCCTTGAGGCTCACTCAACTTACCCTTTATGCCAAATTATTATCTTGATTGACTAGAAAGCATGTGACATTCACGTATGCGAATGGTAAAGTGGTGGGTGCGACAGTGAAAGACGCAACTTTCGGTGATGCCCATGTGGTCTTCGATCGTTTGAAACACAGGAATCCAGGCATGGCCTGCGACTGCTCGTTTGGAACAGAAAAAGGAATCCCATGTAGGCATGCTTATGTCGCGACCAAAAAAAATGGGCAATATCTCTATAATTTGACAAATAGAAAGTACACAACGCAGGCATGGAAAGACGTGTACTGTACGGAAGAGGCAGACGGAACCCTTGTCGTCGAATCTCTACGTATTCCGAACATGCATGATGTGAAACGCCATATAGACTTGAAAGATGAGGCGGGGGCGTGTTGAATCCGCACTTTTTTAGGCTGTTGAACTTTTTTAGTTATTGGCTCTGCGCGCAAGACGACATTGAGCCCTTTCAGATGCAACAAGAACCAAAGGAATCGGTGGCCATGGCGCCGAGAACGAGCATGCCAAAGTAGCCCCTCACCATTGCCAGAGCCCTCTTTGCCATCGATTTTCTCAAGATACAGGTCCGCCCTTCGAGTGCAGATTCTAAGCGCCCCCGCCTCAGATACCAAACTCTGCATGCCCCCCGCCTACAGGCCCCGTGCCGGGCGCCCAAGCGTCAAAAGAAAAGAGAGGACGAAGAAGGCCCAGGGAAACGGAAAGGAAAAAAAGGGGCATTATTGCCATTGCTGCTTCAGATTCGTCACTGACCATACTCAACCTTGGAGGAAGCTGGTGGCTTTGCTGCTCAGGAAGCTGAGGAGGATGATGATCACACTCAAGGGAGGAAGATGGTGGCTGTGCTCAGGAAGCTGAGGAGGATGATGATCACACTCAACCTTCCTCAACAGGCTGAGGAGGATGATGATCACACTCAAGGGAGGAAGATGGTGGCTGTGTTCAGGAAGCTGAGGAGGATGATGATCATACTCAACCTTGGAGGAAGCTGGTGGCTTTGCTGCTCAGGAAGCTGAGGAGGATGATGATCACACTCAAGGGAGGAAGATGGTGGCTGTGCTCAGAAGCTGGAGTATGATGATCATACTCAACCTTGGAGGAAGCTGGTGGCTTTGCTGCTCAGGAAGCTGAGGAGGATGATGATCACACTCAACCTTTGAGGAAGCTGGTGGCTGTGCTCAGGAAGCTGAGGAGGATGATGATCACACTCAACCTTGGAGGAAGCTGGTGGCTTTCCTGCTCAGGAAGCTGAGGAGGATGATGATCACACTCAAGGGAGGAAGATGGTGGCTGTGCTCAGGAAGCTGAGGAGGATGATGATCACACTCAACCTTCCTCAACAGGCTGAGGAGGATGATGATCACACTCAAGGAGGAAGATGGTGGCTGTGCTCGGGAAGCTGAGGAGAATGATGATCACACTCAACCTTGGAGGAAGCTGGTGGCTTTTCAGGAAGCTGAGGAGGATGATGATCACACTCAAGGGAGGAAGATGGTGGCTGTGCTCAGGAAGCTGAGGAGGATGATGATCACACTCAACCTTCCTCAACAGGCTGAGGAGGATGATGATCACACTCAAGGAGGAAGATGGTGGCTGTGCTCGGGAAGCTGAGGAGAATGATGATCATACTCAACCTTGGAGGAAGCTGGTGGCTTTCCTGCTCAGGAAGCTGAGGAGGATGATGATCACACTCAAGGGAGGAAGATGGTGGCTGTGCTCAGGAAGCTGAGGAGGATGATGATCATACTCAACCCTGGAGGAAGCTGGTGGCTTTCCTGCTCAAGAAGTTGAGGAGGAGGATGATCACACTCAACCTTCCTCAACAGGCTGAGGAGAATGATGATCACAC